TGCCAGAGATAGCATATAAATGATCCGTGAAATTTCGGCTGGCTGTTCAACAGTTTGAAGCCGTTCTCAGGGGCGGATGTAGGGACGTTAAGGTAACTATATCATGCCCTCTCCTAAGGTGGTGAATGTTGATACAAAATGACACATAGCTTGACTTTGCAGGATATTTAAAATAACTATGGTATCGTGATGTTACTGGCGTGCGCCTGAGTCCGTCCGTGCTCGCGCCGCCAGTGCTGCTGTACCTCGGTACTCCGCTGCCCCGACCGGCGGTGTACTGCCTGGGGCGCCGCCCGCAGGGGTCGGCGTCGCCTGCTCGCCTCGCGTGTTAAGACAGTTACCGTCTCACAGCGCTCGTGTCTGGTCTGAATGACGGAGGTCTGACTGAAGGGAGCGCGAGCAGATAGAACACATAAGACTTGAATACTGTCGCCATGGAAAGGTTGCGTCAGATGCTCCTTAATGTTACTGGGTGTCAGAAACTGTACCTATGCGTGCACGCGGCGCTCGTGCGCCGCCGGCGGTAGCGCGCCAGCGATTTGGCGGGAGCGCGGTTCGCATGAGGTGCGGTGTGAATGCTAGGCGCTTCGAACCTTCAAATCTTCGGCCACGGAAACATACACGGGGAAGAGATGACGTCGGTTGCTGGCGGCCGGCGGGGCCGCGTTTGACGTGCAAGGCCTCGCTGAACACGAGACGAGTGGAGCGTTGGACGCGCGCCGAGCTGCCGTGTAACGGAGGGACTAAAAGGCCGACCGAACCTGTTCACAGCCCCGTGCTCCGGGCCTATGACACTGATCGACACCAAACCTTCACTCTTCAATGTGCTGTAGTCGACATCCTATCCTACCCGGAAGATGGTGACATTGGGTCGGGTCAAAGGTCACCAAAACACCCGAAACCATAAAATTGGCTGCGGACTAAACCACCAGAATTGGTCCCACAAGCTCGTAGCATGGTGCTGTCCGCAGCAAATTTTTGTGGTTTTGGGTGCTTTTGGTGACCTTTAACCTGTCCCAAGGCCACCATATTCTTGAAAGGATAGCTTATCGACTAAGCGGCATCGAATGGTAAAAGTTAGTTGTCGACCGGTGCCACAGGCTCGGGGTACGATGCTGTTGATATATTTGGTCACCGTCCGCCTGGTGGATCTGCAGCAGCTGGCGGCCTTCTTCGGCACAGCAAGTTGACTCGCTGGGCCGAAATGCGTGCTCGTCTATGCCTTGGCCGCCTCCCTCGTCGGGAGGGGGGGGGGGGGGAGGGAGCGGTGTCGCGTCCGAGCGCGCTGAGGACGCACCAGCTGAGTATGCCCCGCTGTACCGTAGAACTCGTGCGTGAAGAGTGCTAGATATTTTCGATGTTTTGATCACTGTGACCGATTCTTGAGAATTAGATGGAAGGGGGGGGGGGGCACAGACTTACGTGCTCGCATACTGCCGGCGACATTTTGGCGAGAGTGCGGATCACGTTTGCATAGTGGTAACGCTTGTCGGCTGGATAATTTTATTCAAGAAAAAACTAGCCCAAGTTCGATTATTCTGAAAAACGAAGACCCCCTTTTGGGATATAGCTCTCCAAGCTGGCGCCTGGGCCGCGTCATGGGTCAGCCCTTGGGTCCCTCCACATTCCCAATAATGGAATGCAAGGTTGATGTACAAAGGCTGCTTGGTTGCCTGGTAGTGAGTAGGCGTCGTTACCTAAGCCAGGTGGAGGGCAGTCTGTGGGACGGGACGTGCTGCTCAGCTCATCTGTACCGCACGGCGGTGGTTACGAGAGGTCAGAGTGGCCGGGCACCGGTCAGCCAGCTGACGTCGACGTCAGGTCAGGCGGAGGGAGCCGGCTCAGGTCAGGCCGGAACGAGCTGGTGTCAGGTCAGGCGGAGGGAGCCGGCGTCAGGTCAGGCGGGGGAGCCGGCGTCAGGTCAGGCCGGAGCGAGCTGGTGTCAGGTCAGGCGGAGGGAGCCGGTGTCAGATCAGGCGGAGGGAGCCGGCTCAGGTCAGGCCGGAACGAGCTGGTGTCAGGTCAGGCGGAGGAGCCGGTGTCAGGTCAGGCGGAGGGAGCCGGCTCAGGTCAGGCGGAGGGAGCCGGCGTCAGGTCAGGCGGAGAGAGCCGGTGTCAGGTCAGGCGGAGGGAGCCGGCTCAGGTCAGGCGGAGGGAGCCGGCTCACGTCAGGCGGAGGGAGCCGGCGTCAGGTCAGGCCGGAGCGAGCCGGCTCAGGTCAGGCGGAGGGAGACGGCTCAGGTCAGGCGGAGGGAGCCGGTGTCAGGTCAAGCGGAGGGAGCCGGCACCGCATGGGTACCGACTGGTGAAGAGCTGCCAGAGCACCGCCCAGAGCGGCAATGACCATCTCCAAGCCATGGAAGGTGTCATCTAATGAGCAGAAATGATGGTAGAGCAGCTGCGGGATCTCCGTCATTGACTGCGGGATCTCCACCAATATGATAGACCAGCTGTGGGACCTCTATCAATGACTGCGGGTAGAACAGTGATGGTGGAGCAACTGCGAGATCTTCACCAACCTGCCTCAACGTCAACAGCATAGTTGTACGGCCTCATGATCATTCTCCCGATAGCGTTCAGCGTGTGTGTGTGGGGGGTGGGGGGGGGGGGGGGGAAGGGGAGTTATGCCGTAGGTGACTACATGCGGCGGCAGAGCGGCGCTGTTATTGTTTAGTCCGGAGGGTCATGCCACGACTTATTGGGAGGTGTGGCTTCGCAGTGCTCGACGCAGGACATTGTTTCAGGGTTCAGACGCCGGACGCAGGATGATGCTGACCGAGTCTCGCGTCATCGCGGGTGAGTCACAACCGAGACCCGGGCAGACGTCTGACGTTCCTCCCGCCCTGTGCAGGTCATGAGAGGTTGCGACATGACCTTGGCTTACGACCCCCCCGTCATCAACCGTCCATATCGGGACTCAACGACACGTTCAGCACCTCAGGTTATTCAGCGTCACATTCCTCCTCCCCCGCTGGTGATTGTTGTGGCGGGGAACACAGCTCTGAGACGGTAGCTCGAATCCAAGCCTGACCCGACCCAATGCAAGCGCAGGCGGACGCTCCTACAATGAAGCTAATCGACAAGTCGCCGGCGGATCGCTCGAGGTGGAAGGGGGAGAGGGGGGGGGGGCAAGCCGCCCCCAACCGCAGCACATAGTAAAGTTACGCAGGCACCTTGGTCAGATGGCCACTGCACTGCCAGCCGTGGTGCCCGCTGCCGCAGATATCACACACGATATGTTGACCCTGAACATCACCATAAGGCTGCACGGCTGCACTGGCTGCGGAACCCAAAAAGCCATTCATGAGAGTCGCTGCAGTAAACAATGTTAGAAATCATATCCGTCCCGTCCACCAGTGTCCGTCCCGATGGCTCGGGTGGCTACATGGCCTGTTCTCCAATTCACCCACCGGCGGTTGGGTGGGTATGCTTTAGGCGCCCGCTAGTTGACCTCGCCAGGTTTGGCTGCAGCTTGCGGTCATGTGATAGCGGCCGTAGCACTACGGGCCAGGTGAAGTTGGAAGGCAGGACGGACCGTGCCGAGCGTCCGCACGTTAACCTTTCACCACCCAATTCTACCGCCGACCTGAAATTGCCCGATCGAGTGGCAAACGTCGAGACTCACTGCCTAGTGTGAGCCTCTATCCCAGAAAACTGTTCATTCAAAAAGGTTCGAATTAAATCTAAAAACGATTCAAGGTAGAGAAGGAGATTAGAAACATACAAGCTAATCCGTCGCAGACCAATAGTCAGTCGAGTCCGGCTACGCCCGCATGAATACATATGGTTGAGTTTGTCACATTTCACACGCCATCCGAGCTGAGTTCACTCGGCGACCCGACGTACAACCTTGCAAGTTTTACATTCGGACTGTGAAAACGGCATTTCGCAACCAATCTCGCGTCCAAGGATAGTCACCGGGCATCGTTCCATGCATTGCAAAGTTTGTCTCAAGTCGATACACCTCTTCTATCCCTTTGGCACTTTAAGACCGTCGGTATTTCATGAAGAACCATTTAAGACGCGTTGAAGCGCTAACGGAACCGAATTCGGTCTAGTCCAGACAGCAGGGCTTGCGACAGCCCAGCACCCACATCCGTTTTGCTCCTTCTGTTTAATGGCCCTAGTCAATACGTCAGCTGTGAGCAGGAGAGTGACGCAGCTGTATCTGAGCAGCATGCGTCACCTGTCAGATGTGAGCAGGAGAGTGACGCAGCTGTATCTGGGCAGCCCGCGTCACCTGTCAGATGTCAGTAGGAGAGTGACGCAGCTGTATCTGAGCAGCATGCGTCACGTGTCAGATGTGAGTAGGAGAGCGACGCAGCTGTATCCGGGCAGCACGCGTCACCTGTCAGATGTCAGTAGGAGAGTGACGCAGCTGTATCTGAGCAGCATGCGTCACGTGTCAGATGTCAGTAGGAGAGTGACGCAGCTGTATCCGGGCAGCACGCGTCACCTGTCAGTAGGAGAGTGGCGCAGCTGTATCTGAGCAGCATGCGTCACGTGTCAGATGTCAGTAGGAGAGCGACGCAGCTGTATCCGGGCAGCACGCGTCACCTGTCAGATGTCAGTAGGAGAGTGACGCAGCTGTATCTGAGCAGCATTCGTCACGTGTCAGATGTCAGTAGGAGAGCGACGCAGCTGTATCCGGGCAGCACGCGTCACCTGTCAGATGTCAGTAGGAGAGCGACGCAGCTGTATCCGGGCAGCACGCATCACTTGTCAGATGTCAGTAGGCGAGTGACGCAGCTGTATCTGAGCAGCATGCGTCACGTGTCAGATGTAAGGAGGGGGTGACGCAGCTGTATCTGGGCAGCACGCGCCACCAGAGCCTCGCGGCGAGCTATCTGTGTGAGGGGCATCGCTTGGCACATCTGCGTCGACTCTCAGGGGACGGCATCAGCTGCCCAACTGCCGAGGCTCGATGCAAGCTCCGTCTACCTCATGAACCATTATTGTTCAGCACAGTATCTCATCGATGCAAACATAAGACGCTGGTATCTAAAACCGATCGCCTTAATCAGCACCGTGTGTATTCAAACTGCTTTATGACACGCACAAACGTGCATAACAGCAACTGCTGACAAGCAACAACCACCACCAAGTTCAACCTAGCATTACCAATATCAAGGATGGCGCCAGGGTGGCCTGCACGTCACATCACTTCACCTACAAGCTTGCACAAACTCACTCAATAAAATTCAGTAGGTGTCCGACGCTCACAACCTCTATATTCACAACAGCCTGCAGCTCATAATGTTTCCATACACAACATGCCACCTACAACATATTGAATATATAACATCTCATCGCCCGCCGTTAATGACACTTCATGACGTCATCACGTAGCCGACTGCAGCTTCAGACAGCCCACATTGAAGCCGTCGCCCTTACAGCCGCCAACCCTCGACAGGAGCTCCACCTTCTTCCGGTTGCACTTGGACGTCTGCAGCTCATAGAGGGTGCACAGGTTAAGCAGCACCGTCTCCTGCAAGAGCTCGGGACGGGAGAAAACGGCCGTCTCCAGCATGGTCACGGCGTCTGCCAGCCGGCCTTGGTACAGCAGGCACACCGACAGGTTGGTCAGCACCTGCAGGAACCACACCAATGTCAGGCAGCCGGCCCTAGTACACCAGCCGCATCACCGGGTCGAATAATACCTGCATCAGCGCACAACCGCACACTTCATAAAGGAGAACCCGCTCAGGCAGGTGTTTACAGGGAACCTGGTCAGGCAGGTGTTTACAGAGAACGCGCTCCGGCAGGTGTTTACAGAGAACTTGGTCAGGCAGGCGTTTACAGAGGAGAACGCGCTCAGGCAGGTGTTATCAGAGAACCTGGTCAGGCAGGCGTTTACAGAGGACAACCCGGTCAGTCGGGTGTTTACAGAGAACCTGGCCAGGAAGGCGTTTACAGAGAACAACCCAGTCAGACGGGTGTTTACAGAGAACTTGGTCAGGCAGGCGTTTACAGAGGAGAACTCGCTCAGGGAGGTGTTTACAGAGAACCTGGTCAAGCAGGCATTTACAGAGGACAACCCGGTCACACGGGTGTTTACAGAGGAGAACCCGGTCAGACAGAAGCTTACGGACACCCTGGTCAGGCAGGTGTTTACGGAGAAGAACCCAGTCAGGTGGGTGTTTATAGAGGAGAACCCGGTCAGACAGCTGTTCACAGAGGAGAACCCGGTCAGACAGGTGTTTACAGAGGAGAACCCAGTCAGACAGGTGTTTACAGAGGAGAACCCAGTCAGGCAGGTGTTCAAAGAGGAGAACCCAGTCAGGTGGGTGTTTATAGAGGAGAGCCCGGTCAGACATATGTTTACAGAGGAGAACCTGGTCAGACAGCTGTTTACAGAGGAGAACCCGGTCAGACAGGTGTTTACAGAGGAGAACCCAGTTAGGTAGGTGTTTACAGAGGAGAACCCAGTCAGGCAGGTTTTTACAGGGAATTTGGTCAGGGAGGTGTTTCCAGAGGAGAACCTAGTCAGGCGTTTACAGAGGAGAACCCAATCAGGCAGGTTTTTACAGAGAACCTGGTCGGGGAGGTGTTTAGAGAAGCCCGTGAGGCAGGTGTTTACAGAGGAGAACCCGGCCAGGCAAGTGTTCCAAAGCTCGCATGCCGTTGGAAAAAGGAGGTCCACATAAAAAGGAACCTGATAAATTAACAAAAACACTACGCAACGAGACACGCCGAGCCCGCAATGCGTCAAGGTACCGACAGACGCCACACGCTATCCAAGCCGCGCAGGCCGGGGGCGGCCGCCGGCCGCCTTACCGTGGCGTTCTCAGGCTCCAGCTGCAGCGCGCGCTCGAACTTGGCCTGCGCCTCCGCAAAGTTGTTCTCGCCGATCGCGAGGAACGCGTCGTTAATTAGCAGCTGTGCGGATAGTCGACTGTCGTCACTCTCCGACGGAGGCTTGTCTGCAGATGGCAGACAAACAGCACAGTCATGTACGTAAGGTGTACCAATTCATTGGAACGCCAATATTGCACGGCTTACCGTCCAATAGCACGAAATACCGTCTACGGAGGGGAATGAGACATCCTTACTATAACAAGAGGTCAAGTCCTGCCCTGGAAAATGCGTTTGTCCGCAATTTATGTTGCAACGGAACTAGCTCGAAGGAAAACCTAAGCAAAAACGCCTCTTAGGGAATAAAGTACAGAATCGCAAGTTCCTTATACCAAGCTGCCACACGACCGTCTTCATCTTAAT